CTGGAGAAACAACAGGAGTAGCACAGTGATGTAGCTAAATATCCTGGAAATCCTCCTGATAGTGAACTCTGTCAGACTGTGGAAAGCTATCCCAGGGAAGTGGTGCTAGATTCAATGAATGGCAAATTTAAAGCTGGGACTGAATAAAACATTCTTAAATATATTGTAGGGAACAATCATGCATTAGCAGGGGCTGGGTTAGGTGACCTAACAAGACCTTTCCCCTTCTATTCTCTAGGGTGCTATGGTTTCATTTGAGGTTAAAACATCTTGCTCACAACAAGAATCCAGCTTCACAGAAAAGGCTGTTGGAAAAATCCTCACCTTTATCTCCTCCTCTAGATGTCTCTTCAGTTCCTCAATCTGTTGGGTAAATGCCTGTTTGCCTCTTGAGAGCTGAGAAATCAAAGTATCTTTTTCCTCTACCTGGCGCGCAAATTCACCTTAAAAAGTGAAAATGAAATAGGAGGGATTTAATTTCACTGACTGGAAAATGATATAGTCATTTATTAACTACAAATGGGAATGCTTTAAAGAAAAGGAAATAACTTGAGTTCTCAATTCATCCAAATCATCATTTGAGAACTTCTAATAGCAGGTGTCAAGCAGCATGGTGGATATGCAGTTTTTCCATAGAATGGCAATTTCCTCCCTTTTGCACCTCATATCTCCTCCATACACTCAAAATGTCTACATCAAAAAACATGTATGCATCTTACCCGATTCTGTTTGTAGACGAGCTCTTTGAGCACTGAGGTCATTGATCGTACGCTGATGCTCTTCTTCCTTTGTCTTAATCTCACTGAGCTGATCTTCCAGAGTGCGGCACAGCTTCTCAAGATTTGACTTTGTGTAAAATGGACAAAAAGAAAGAGGATAAACACATGCACTCTCCAGCATTCTGAGATAATTGAGAGCTTTGGCATGACAAACACACGTGGGCTCAATTATTGAGGAAACCTCACCCTTCATAAATCCGTGTGCAAAAAAGTGTGCAAAAGGTAAAATGAGAAGGGGAAGGGAGCAAAGAGGGGGCCTGGGGAGAGAGGGACAGGCTGAGACCTTAGTGGAATGGGGCAGAAAGTATGGTAATGGGAAGCAGACACGAGATGGTAGAGGCTATATCAGCCCTATCACCACCCCAAGAAGGTCCCTGGCCTCTCTCCTCTGCAGACTGCCCGAGAAGCCTCTCCAGCCATCCCCTCTGATGTGACAAGTAGGCTCCTGCCTCCCTCCACTCCGTCCCCTGTGCTCTGGGGTGCCCTGGGGCAAAGTGATTAAATAGGTGTCTACTTCCCACTGGCAGGAAATATCACATGGAGCCACACGGAGCTTGACAATTGTGGTCAGGGCTATGGGGTGGGGTGCTGATCTGGGAGGCAGGAGTAGGCCATGACTTCTAGTTCCAGGTCTTTTACTGACTGATGTTAACATTCTATGCACTCCATAGCCCTTATTATTGAACAAGGATTCATGCCCTGACTTTGGGAGTCAGGCAAATATAATTTCCCCTCATTTTACAGATGGGAAATATGAGGTTATACAAGTCACTTCCAGCAGATTGTGGCATGGATTCCAGTGTGCTAACATGGAAAATCCAAACTCCAGCCACTCCGCTTTGCAGAATGAATGTGGCAAACCTATATGGTTGACTGTGCTGCCTGTAACTGCTAGCCCACACTCCCCTCCAAAATCAGGAATACAACCAAGAAATCCTTACACCTAAGCTTGGAAGGATTAGATTTTTATCAGTAATCATCGATGTCACCATGCACACAAACCAACAAAAACATTTCCATTGATAATAAACAAAATTTACAGATAGGAAAAGTCAGAAAAATGCTGCCCGAAAACTTCTTAGAGTTTGTTTTAAGGCTTTTTACTTTGTATATTTTTACATGTGATGCTGTCAATTTGTGTTTTAACATTGAAAAAGCTTCAACTTTTTGAATCTCAACCTCTACTGTCATTAAATAATTGTCTGATCCACTATATTGTCTGGCCCCTCATAATTTTGTGCAAATGTGAAAATTTAAATACATAAAAATGCTTAAAACCCATAATTTTGTACAACTGTGAAAAATGAAATAGATTAAAAAAAATTAAAATACTTCAAAATAAACATCAATATTATCCATCAAAATTATAAAAAAATAAATATCAAATTCTGCCAACCCTACTTATACCTAACATTCCTCAGTTATATCACAAAGTTGTATGACCCACTGATAAAACGTGTGTGTCATGCCTCTCTAGAGACTGGTCCACACAGAGGATAAGAGCTTACTACTGCTACCAGTTATTCATTTAGCTAGATTGCTGTGGATCTAAAGGTTTCAACCCTACTGATGACCATTTTAGGGGGATCAACATGATTACACTTGATGAAATTTCTGGTTTTTCAGTCTGCTTTATTAAAAAAAGACCTAAAATTTCGCATAACACCATCTCCCCACTTTAAAAGAGATTTACGATTGCAAACTGAAGCACTCAAAAGCTAACTGATACCAGTATTAAGTTTGCCTGTCCATGGGCAGCGATAATTCTGGCATATTCATTGCTGTTAGAACATACTGAGTCAGACCAAAGGTCCATCTAGCCCAGTATCCTGTCTTTTGACAGTGGCCAATGCCAGGCGCCCCAGAGAGAATGAACAAAACAGGTAATGATCAAGTGATCCATCCCCTGTCACTCATTCCCAGCCTCTAACAAACAGAAGCTAGGGTAACCATCGCTGCCCATCCTGGCTAATAGCCATTGATGGACATATCCTCCATGACTTTATCTAGTTATTGTTCAAAGCCGGGTATAATCTTGGCCTTCACAACATCCTCTGGCAAAGAGTTCCACAGGTTGCCTGCGATTTGTGTGAAGAAATATTTCCTTTTGTTTATTTTAAACCTCCTGCCTATTCGTTTCATTTGGTGACTCCTAGTTCTTGTGTTATGAGAAGGAGTAAATAAGACTTCCTTATTTACTTTCTCCTCACCAGTCATGATTTTAAAGACCTCTATCATATTCTCTCTTAGTCACTTCTTTTCCAAGCTGAAAAGTCCCAGTCTTATTAATCTCTCCTCATACAGAAGCTGTTCCATAACCCTAGTCATTTTTGTTGCCGTTTTCTGAACATTTTCCAATTACAATATATCTTTTTTGAGAAGGGGTGACCAATTCTGCATGCAGTATTCAAGATGTGGGTGTGCCATGGATTTATATAGAGGCAATATGATATTTTATGTCTTATTATCTATCCCTTTCTTAATTATTCCCAACATTCTGTTTGTTTTTTTGACTGTCACTGCACATTGAATGGATGTTTTCAGAGAACTATCCACAATGACTCCAAAATCTCTTTCTTGAGTGGTAACAGCTAATTTAGACATGATCATTTTGTAGGTATACTTGGGATTATGTTTTCTAATGTGCATTACTTTGCATTTATCAACAGTGAATTTCATCTGCCATTTTGTTGCCCAGTCACCCAGTTTTGTGAGATCCCTTTGTAGCTCTTCACAGTCTGCTTTGGACTTAACTATCTTGAGTAGTTTTCTATCATCTGCAAATTTTGCCACCTCACTGTTTACTCCTTTTTCCAGATCATTTATGAATATGTTGGATAGGACTGATCCCAGTACAGACCCCTGGGGGATACCACTATTTTCCTCTCACCATTCTGAAAACTGACCATTTATTCCTATCCTTTGTTGCCTATCTTTTAACAATTTACTGATCCATGACAGGACCTTCCCTCTTATCCCATGACAGCTTACTTTGTTTAAGAGCCTTTGGTGAGGGACCTTGTCAAAGACTTTCTGAAAATCTAAGTACACTATAACCACATGCTTGTTGACCCCCTCAAAGAATTATAGTAGATTGGTGAGGCATGATTTCCCTTTACAAAAACCATGTTGACTCTTCCCCAACAAATTATGTTCATCTATGTGTCTGACAATTCTGTTCTTTACTATAGTTTCAACTAGTTTGCTCAGTACTGAAGTCAGGTTTACTGGCCTATAATTGCTGGGATCACCTCTGGAGCCCTTTTTAAATATTGGCATCACATTAGCTATCCTCCAGTCATCTGGTACAGAAGCTGATTTACCATGATATGTAACATACCATAGTTAGTAGTCCTGCAATTTCACATTTGAGTTCCTTCAGAACTCTTGGGTGAATGTCATCTGGTCCAGGCAACTTATTACTGTTTAATTTATCAATTTGTTCCAAAACTTCATCTAATAACACCTCAATCTGGGACAGTTCCTCAGATTTGTCAGATAAAAAGAATGGCTGAGGTTTGGGAATCTCCCTCACATTCTCAGCCGGGAAGACCAATGCAAAGAATTCATCATCACAATGGCCTTATCATCCTTGAGTGCTTCTTTAGCATCTCAATTTTCCAGTGCCTCGCTGATCCTTTAGCAGGCTTCCTGTTTCTGATGTACTTAAAAAAATTTTGCTATTACTTTTTTGAGTCTTTGGATAGCTGTTCTTCAAATTCTTGTTTGGCCTTCCTAATTATATTTTTACACTTCATTTGCTAGAGTTTATGCTCCTTTCTATTTTCCTCACTAGGATTTAACTTCCACATTTTAAAGGATGCCTTTTGGCCTCTCACTGCTTCTCTTATTTTGTTATTTAACCACGATGACTCTTTTTTGGATCTCTTACTATGTTTTTTAATTTGGTGTATACATTTAAGTTGAGCCTCTATTATGGTATCTTTAAAAAGTTTCCATGCAGCTTGCAGGGATTTTACTTTTGGCACTGTACCTTTTAATTTCTGTTTAACTCACCTCCTAATTTTTGTGTAGTTTCCCTTTCTAAATTAAATACAACAGTGTTGGGCCACTGTGGTGTTTTCCCCGCCACAGGGATGTTAAATTTAATTATATTATGGTCACTATTACCAAGCGATTCAGCTATATTCACCTCTTGGACCAGATCCTGTGCTCCATTTAGGACTAAATCAAGAATTGCCTCTCCTCTTGTGGGTTCCAGGTTCTCCAAGCTTCTCCAAGAAGCAGTCATTTAAGGTGTCAAGAAACTTTATCTCTGCATTCCGTTCTGAGGTGACATGTACCCAGTCCATATGGTGATAGTTGAAATCCCCCATTATTATTGAGTTTTCTATTTTTATTACCTCTCTAATCTCCCTGAGCATTTTACAGTCACTATCACCATCCTGGTGAGGTGGTCGGTAGTATATCCTTACCGCAATATTATTATTATTCAAGCATGGAATTACTATCCTTAGAGATTCTATGGTGCAGTTTGGTTCATTTGACATTTTTATTTCATTTGATTCTATGCTTTCTTTCACATATAGTGCCACTCCCCACCAGCACGACCTGTTCTGTACTTCGGATATATTTCATACCCTAGTATTACTGTGTTCCATTGATTATCCTCATTCCACCAAGTTTCTGTGATGCCTATTATATCAATATCCCCATTTAATACGAGGCACTCTAGTTCACCCATCTTATTATTTAGACTTCTAGCATTTCTATATAAGCACTTAAAATAATTGTCACTTTTTAGCTGTCTGCCATCACGTGATGTAATTAAAAGGGGCTCTTTTTCATTTGACTGTTTCTCATCCGATCCTACCCGTATTTTATCATCTTCCATCTTCTCTTCCTTACTAGGACATAGAGACTCTCCATTAATAGATCCTCCCCTAAGGGATGTCTCTGTCCGAAAAACGTACTCCTCTGCACCTGTCAGCTTCCCCTCAGCCCTTAGTTTAAAAACTACTCTATGACCATTTTAATTTTGTGTGCTTGTGCTTGACTGCAACTTTAATATTCTTTTAAGGTAGTTTATAAAGGTAATTCTATGTAGACTTGCATATTCAGTACTCTATGGTAGAGTAATATGTTTCATATAAATTTTAATAATTCAATTTAAAAAACAATATAATGCTAATTATTATCATCCTCTAAGTGTGATGGCTATTAACTCAGTAATAACTGTATTTGGAGCTTATAAACTTCTTGGTCCTGTTTGAGATTTTATGTATGTTTTATACAAATTAAACTGTAAATAATTCTGTTAGATTCCAACTTACAGTCAGCTCATATCCTACTCTTACAATCTTTTGTATAATTAAACATGATAAAATGATGATTAAAAATCTTTCACTCTTTTATGCTGCAATAATACTTAGGATAAAGACAGCACTTTCAATACACAGCTCTGTACCTTGGCTTTGGAGACAGTCTCCATGTTACTAGCCAGGTCGTCGATCTCCATCTTCAGTTCACTCTTCTCCTTCTCCAGCTTCTGTTTGACTCGTTGCAGGTTGTCAATTTGCTCCCCAAGCTCTGCTGTGCTGTCCGC